GGGAGGGGGGGGGCGGTCCATCGTGCAGGGAAGGGGGCCGCGGGCCCGCCACGCGGCGCGAAATCCCACCGGGTCGGCGGGCACACCAATCAGCAGAAGGCACCACAACACGCGGTGCCGACAGGACGCGGAGGCGGTGTGGGGGTTGAGACGCACGTGAGCTTCCTTGTGGATCTGAAAAGAAGACGGAGGAGGGGGAAGTCGGTATCACGCGGCACAAGGGTCGTCGAGGGGGCATTCCATAAGTAGAATGCCCCCTCGACGTCCGTACAGGATCCGGGGAATATCAAAACAAAGGACAACAGCAATAGGAAAGTGAAGTTTAAAAGCGGTTGAAGCTCGAAAAATAAAGACCGCGATATCGATAGGAATAACCCTATCGATTGCTCAATGAATCGAGTACCACTTGAGCCCATCAACATTGACCACGCTTGATTCAAAGCCCAACGGTATTCACGCGCTTCAAAATAATAGTTATACGAAAAAAAAAAACGTCAAAGGAACTGTTTCATTGGTGAAATGCATGAAAAAAAAAATAATAATAAATAGACTTTATGAACCGCATAAGAAGTAAAATAAACACTGTAATATAAAGAAATAGAAATACATTATTTGCGTGATTTCTTAATTACTCTACTCTCTTTATATTGAAAAAAAAAAAAAAAGCCCTGAAGGTGTTGTTTTGCGTAGCCAATCTAAAAGTCCCGCCGCTTTGCATGTAAAGGGAAAAAGTACTGATAAGCATCCCAAATAAATAAAAAGGTTCTTTTACCTCTATAGGTTTACGTAACCGAATACAAAGCTCAACCTCAGCAGACAAAGCCCATCACCTGATGTACCAACGACAACAACAAAGAATAGAAGAAGATGATTAAAATCACGCCCAAATCTTGAACGTGCTCCCCTCTCTCTCTCTCTCTCTCTCTTTCTTTTTTTTCTCTTTTTTATTTCCTCTTCCCCTGTTTGTGTTGTTCTTTCGGCGCCTTGAGCGAAATTACGAAAGATTTTATTCCTCAAACAAGCCGAATTCCCGTAGCCGCTCATCCTTCAGCTGCGTCCCCACGCATTCGGTCGGCTGGCGAGGATTTCGAATCTGATACTCCGCGGCGGCATCCTCGAGCATGTCCTGCGGGTTGAAGGCGGGGAGGTTGCGGAAGACATTGCAGTCGGGATTCATCCGCTTGAAGTCGACGCGGATGCCGTTCCCCACGTAGGTATCGGGCAGAAACC